AGTAAGAAGTGGTGTCGGCTTAAGCATTTATTCATTGTCGAGTACGTGGTGTGTATATTGTGAGTAGTGTGGCGTGTGTGTGTTGTTGATGTGCATGTGTCTGTAGCCCAAAGTAGGCCGGTGCGTGTGTGTGTGGTCTGAAAAAATCAGTATGTGTGTGGCCACAAGAAGGTTGATGTGCGTGTGAGTGGCAGTATGTTGTCGATGTGCATGGCTGGGAACAGTCAGTGTGTGTGTGTGTGTGTGGCAGTGTACAGTCAGATGAGAGGGCTTGATATATGTGTGTGCATGGTTGTAAATTACTATTGGGGATGTGTGTGGCCAGGAACGGTCGGTGTGTGCGTGAGTGGCAGGATACTGCCGATGTGTGTGGCCTAGAACGGTCGGTGTTTATGTGTGTGGCAGTGTACAGTCGACGTGATAATAGAGGGCTTAATGTGTGTGTGAGTGGCTGTATGTTGCTGTTGTGGGTGCCTGTGTGGCTAAAGAAAGGCTGGCGTGTGTGTGGCTGAGTGAAGCCGATGGTGGAGTGATGGAAATAGAGTATGTGTATGGCCAAAAGACCGATGTGCATGTGTGGCCAGATTGAGGCCGATGAGTGGCTTGTGTGGCTGTAGTGTTTGGTGTTTAAGGGTAAACTATGAATAGAATAGGGTGAAAGAAGGAGAGGGTACAGTGAGAGAAATAGTGGGATAGGGAGTGGGGTAATAATAGAGTGGACGTCCAAATATATTTACATATTATATTTGAGTTTTGAATTTATCTGACTGTACTAGATTGTGCTCATTATATGTTCTTTGCATATGCGGTAAGACTGGAGGGAGAACCAAAGTCCCAACATGGGAGATCCCTCATAGGGAAAACAAAATAATTAGAGAGATAAATGTGTAATTGATTGTACACGATGCTTGTCTATTTGATACTCAAGCAGAACGTTTCATGAGTTATTTATGTTGATTTTTTATTGTTATAATGAAATTGAAATCCGAATAATGAATACTTTGTTCATTAATATCGATGATTTTAATTACATAAAATGTAGTTGATTTGAAAGACTTTATTGGTAATGTGTTTGGATACGAAGTGTGTATCAAATGGATATCTTGGATGTCACATAAGAAATCGTAAATTCAATAGTTAACGTTACAAATAGCGATAAAAATACAAAATTAATGTATTAATAGATAGTTTAATAACTTGATGATTTAATTAAAGAGTTTGATTAAAGATGGATGGAGTTTATGACAATATATAATTAAATAAACTACATAAATTCTTATAACGGTAACAAACTCTTATTTATCGATACTACTATATATAAAAGCTTAAATAAATGTAAATCAACTAATCAATCAAATAGTTTTCTCTCTCTCTCTCTCTCTCTCTCTATATATATATATGTATATATATATATTGAGGTATGTGCCGTCTTCACCTAGTTATTAATCGAAATTATTACTTAGTACGTACATATGCTACAACTTCGTGAACATATCATTTTGATATAGACATTTCACTTAAACATTTCGGATATATATATATATATATATATTACATATATCAAAAGGAAGTATCCAGTGAATATAATGAAGCAATTTCTTAGTGGGTGCAAATTTATTTAGTTAATAAAAGATTTATGTGCAATATTAAAAATATTAGTAAATTTGGTCTGCATTGATGGCTATAGTAAAGTTGACATTTCTTTTTTTGTGACAACAGATAATCTCAATTAAAAATGTTTATTGATTACACTAATAAATTATTTTAATTTTACGTAATACTAATTGATATAATTTATCTAATAAGAACGACATTCAATATACGTATTGACTTATCTAAAAATATAAAAAATATATATTACTTAATTAAAATGAATGAGATTCTTACTAAATATAAAGTAATCACTGCAGTGAATTAATTTGATTTTACCAACATTGAGTTGGGCAAGAAAAAAGAGATCCACTTATAGGATTAGTTTCTAATATAATCTCCTTAATTCACTCAAATTGTAATTATATAATGTATTAATATTTAGTTTGAATCATTCTTTAAGAGTTTTATTTTTTTTTTATTTTTTTTTGTCTAATAATCTTGGTGAGTTGAATGAGTTAGAAAAGTTAAAATTAATTTGATTAAGTAATGTTATTAATTAGAATTAATAAGATTAATTAATGATGTTAATCATAAATTGCTTCTTCTTTTTTTCTTTTTTCTCTTTTGGGTTTTTAAGGATATAAAAATTAGGGGGCCTTCCAAGATTCCTTTTGATCCCTTCTTGAATCAAACCAGTTGACCAAATTATTTTAGATCATAAAAGGGAATTTTATTTTCTTTTTTTTTTTTTTAATTTTTTGGGGCAAAATTAATTTCATTTTTATACGAATACATATAATC